CAATCGTAATCGGAAACGGAAGGCTTCGGAGGGCTGCGATTTACATAAAAGTCATTCGTCACGTAGGTAGCGGCTTCCTGACTCGAACTGGTCCTTGGACTTATTTCCTGGTTAACACGCTCCAACTTTCGTTCATTCACATCATGGTGGTCCCCATCAATGGCAAGGCCTACGAGTGGGGGGCCTGGTGTCGGTCCCCAAGAAAAGATCGAACCTCTCCGTGTACTTTGCCCCTCTCGAGATGCCCTATATTCCAATCTCCAATATACTATAATCGTCGAGTTATGTAATTCAATTCATTTGAATAATATTTCGAATTTCGAATCTCTCGAGGATTCGTTGAATTTTCTTCTCTTTTCTTTTCTTGAAGAATGGAATCGTTGGAAATATTAGAAAATATCGGAATCGGAATGGAAATTTAACATCGAAACGATTTTTACGAATCGAACGAATGGAACGAACGATGCGTTTTCACAATGCGTGTTTCAAGTTCTCGTTTCTCTTTTTCCTCGCCACGAAAAGAGAAAGAATTGCGAAATAATTGAATTGAATCTGTGATGATCGAGAGATGCAAATGAGCACGCGTATTAGTCAGCGGAGGAGATTTTTTTACTAGGGAGAAATCTATGGATCGTTTAAACAATGGAGTCACAATTACACATCGTGGTGATAAAGATATTTCTCGTCGTTGAAAGGGAATCCCGATTTAAAATCGTCGCGCGCCGATGAAACATCGGTATTGAAATTCATATATCGGAAAGTCCTCGTCGATTATCATCGAAGATGCATCGATTGGAGGAAGAAGAAAAAGAAAAAAGAAAAAAAAAGTGAACGCAACGCGGATTTCGTAACCAGTGACGAAAGAATCGAGGAGGAACGACAAATAGCTGTAATCGTTTCAGAGGGGGAGGAAAGGTATGTCGCGTGAAATATGGAAGAAAGAAGAATGGATAAAAAAAAAAAAGTTCAGGTACACATTGTATGGAAAAAAATGGACAACGATTGATCAACAACGATTGAACAAGGATTTATTGCTTGCTTGTTTACAATGTGATTAGAAGGGTGAGCAATCCTCGAATACCTTGAAAACATGTTCATTGTAGTATGGTGGTGCATTCTAGAATTGAAATGATCGCATACCGTGTCATAACGTAAGACCAGTGAAATTTAACAATTTAAGTTACGAATAAAGTTACTCCCATAAGTTAATTTAATAATTTATTGTTAATTTTCAAACCAATAATAATAATTGGAAATAAAATGTGATAGCCGAGATTATATAGAAGAGCGGATCAACAATAATAGCTACAAATGTTATTCAAATATTTTAACAAGTAATTTCTTAAAATAACTTTCGAGAAAAAAAACTACTTTACTTTTTCAACTTTTATTGGGTTGATACCCTATTCTGATGGTGCATCCTGGTTACATCAAAAAAAAAAAAGACAATTTTGCTCGTATCGTATGTACGATACAATAACAGGAAATATCAGGAATTTGATAAGAAAGATGATGATTCCGATGACGATTTGTATAACACGATTTTTCAGATTTAACAAAAAAAAAAAAACGAATAACAACTTTTAATAACAATTGCGGTCGATGATGTCAGTTATGAATGGACTACTCGTTTTCGATTACACAATTATTGAATTATTTTATACCGATTAAAATAACTGTAATAACTTAGATAATGAACAATTAAAGAAGTGATAATAAAAATAAATATGTTTTTAGATAACTTGAAACAATAATGATAAAATAAATAATTTTACAAGCATGGGATTCGATTAGATTAGCGGAGGAATAGTGGCAATGAAACGCGGACTAATTGATGAAAAGGTTATTAAACAAGGAATACTTTTCCAATTGACATCGTGACGTTCGTTACGTGATACGTAAAGAAAATTAACGAATTCGTTTAAGACGCTACGAAACGTGAACGATCCACGTGTCTCTCATGCGCATTTGACAAAAAAAAAAAAAAAAAAAATAAGCGAAAGAAACCCGAGAAAAAAAAGAAAAATAGAAGATTTTTCCGGCAACGAATACCGGAAGACACGTATTATACCTTCCTCCCGTAATCATACGCATAAATCTTTATCGATTATAAAATAGTAGATTAATTCATTTATGTAACGAGAAGCTTAAAACTAAACCTTTACTAAAAAAAAAAAAAAAAAAATATGACAAGCCGTCCCGACACGTGTTTCCGACACGTGAATCATCCAAAAAGATTGCAGATATCCGCGCAAATTTCGTGTCATTTCGAATGAACAATGGATCTCAAGGATAATTCGTAATGAGAAAAAAAAAAAAAAAAAGGAAAAAAACTGAAAAAAAATATGTAAAGAACTCCCATAGAATTTTTAATTTTATCATCGACAGATTCGAAACGAGATTTGCATTCGTTAAAGTTTCTATCCTGCCTATCGATCACTTTCGTTCAAGGTATTCGCGCAACGATGTCTCGTTTTACAATTTGATCTGTAAAAAAAAAAAAAAAAAAAAAAAAGAAAAAAAGGAATCCGTGCGTGGGTTAGCGGAGAATTATAGCGAGCTCGATGACTCGAAATGTGCGCGAGTCGCTCGTATTTTTTATGCGCGAATCGGCTTACAATTTCAATATAGGGATTCTGTTCGTTTTTCCCATACGAACGGAATATATATATATATATATATATATATATATATATATATATAATATATAT